GGACAAGGTCAGGTTAAACCCCCCCAAAACCCCTAGAGTAGAGAGAGCAAGAAAGAAGTAGAAAAAGAGCAAATGACAAGGCAATGTTTGTTTCCTACAAATGGGTAAGCAGCGAAACAAGGAAATAGTTTATATAAGGCTGACGCCCTAAACAATCAAATTAAGGCCTCCCCAAAAATTCACTATAAGAAGTTGTTTTGATGTCCAAAAAATATCAACCAATCATCACAACCTTGAGATATATATATATAAAAAAAAAATTTTATTTGAAAAGTAGTGCATCTTGTAATGCATTATTTGGACCAATAATTTTTAATATTTTCAAATACTTATAAATCTACTTGATTTACATTATTTTTTAAGCAGTTAGTTTCATAATTAGATATGAAAATATATTTTTAGCCCATCACAAAGATTTTTGCTTTTGAAAAATTATCTTTCAAGATTATTTAGAGGTGCCTCAACGTTATAGAATTAGAATTAGTATCTCGTAAAAGACCTAAAAGATACCTATCAGCCATTGGGATTGCTTGGAAGATGGTTTTTTTGAAAATTATATACTATAATATAATATAATGTTGTAATATTATATAATATATAATAGAGCAATGATCCAATACAACAGTTGGATCATAGTATAATGTAACGCCATTTCTAGAAAACCATATTTGTGATATTTGTATGACCCCAAATTTTGCACACCCACTCTCCTCATCTCAATAATTATGCCCAAAAAAGAAAAAAAAGTTCAATTTGAACCCTAGATATCGTCAAAATGAGTCCCCTCCAAAAATGAATCAAGACCATTTATTTTGTGAATTTCAATATCTTAGCCTTTATAAACTCAAAATCATTTTTCCCTTTTTTAATATTGTTCATCTAATGATAATAAAGCTATCCAAAAACATTGAAAATGAAAAAAATCCTTCTAAGGTCTAGATCTAAGCATCTCACCAAAATGAACAGTCTATGTTAATTGAGCTAAAAAAATACTTTCTAGGTTGTGTTTTCAATTTTTTCTTTTTTTTGTGATTGTTCATTAGAATGAAAAGAGCGTATATTTCAAAATTTAGATCAAACAAATGGCCATAAGATGGTTTTTTAAAGTTATTGCATCATATTACTATACAACGGTTGCATGAAATCATTGCTCTATATAATAATACATTATATTCTCTTTACTTATCAAAAAATATATATAATAATACATTTTTTTTGTAGAAAATACATATTAATTACATAATATTATAGTATATAGCTTTGTACGAATTACTTGTGTATAGTAATATATAATTAATTATAATTATAATATTTATAAGTACTATAACTATATATAATTATTATGGAAAATTGTTTCAAGTGGGTTGGACCGCATTTCTACATATGCGGTCTAGAAAGTGTAAAGCATCCATCCTAAAGATTGATGCAAGTAGGTGTTCCATCTAAAGACAATAGAAACTCACCGTCCAAATGTTTTCTTATTAGAATTCTTATTTTTAGTTTTAAAATTTATTTATTTTTTTATATTCATGATCTCCATGTTAGAGACCACATGTCCTTAAACATTGTCTTAAAATCCATCTCAAAAATAGATTTATTGAGAAGCCCGCATTTCTACATATGCAGGCTTGGCCTTATAGAAACTAGGTCCAAATATTATATACATAACAATACAAAATTATATGGGTGTGGTATGTATAGAGCCGAGGCTCTAAACAATCAAATTAGAGCCCACCTTCATATAGTATCAAAAAATATAGTTTCAATGCTGGAAAGTTTTGTGATAGCCTTAAATTATATTTTCATTTTTAGTTATAAAATTTAAAGCATAAAAAATAATGTAAATCAAGCAGATCTATGAAAACTTAAAAACTGACGGTCGAAAAATGCGTCGCAAGATGCACTATTTCCAAAACTTGAAATCCATTTTTTTTCTATTGTACATATATCTTGATGTCGAGATGATCAGTTTGAGGATATTTGAGCATCAAGACAACCTCTTCTAGTGAAAGTTTTGGGGTAGGCTCTAATTTGATTGTTTAGAGCCTAGGCTCTAGATAAACTTTCACAAATTATATATATAATGATATTATATATATTATTATCTATGTTATAATCCATATTAGTTTCGTATTATATGTATTATTATATATTATAATATAATGTATATTATATTATAATATTATATTGTATATGTTATAATATTAATTAATATTGTAATAGTGACTATATAATATAATATAATTCTATTATAATATATAAATTAATTATGTAATATAATATTTTTATTATAATATATAAATTAATTATATATATAATTATTGATAATTATTATTCCAATTTGATTTTATGCGAGGAAGGTCAACGCCAGCAACTATTTTCCTACTTAGACAACTGATTGAGAAGTTTAGGGCGAAGGAAAAATACCTCCACGTGGTTTTTATTGATCTAGAGAAAGTTTATGATAGAGTACTTCGATATTTGATTTAGCAGGTAATGAAAAAGAAATGCACAATATATCAACTTGGTGAGACATATATACACTGGAGCAATAACTAGTGTACAAACAACTAGTGGAGAGACGAGTGAGTTTTCAGTGACAATAGGTCTACATCAATGGCTGGCATTGAGTCTGTACCTTTTTGTATCAGTAATGGACAACTTAACTTGGCACACACAAGATGAGATACTGTGGTACATGTTGTTCGCAGATAACATAGTTTTGATTGATGAGATCTGAAACGCTGTCAAAACAAAGCTAGAACTTTAGAGGGATACTATAGAATCTAAAAGTTTTAAAATTAGTCAAACTAAGACAGAGTATATGAAATGCAAGTTTAATAATAATAGGAGTATAGACGGAGAAGTTGTTAAGATTGATGGTTAGGAAGTACAAAAAAGACAACACTTTCGATATCGTAAGTCCATAATCCATAAAAATGTAGAGATCGAGGATGATATCATACACAAAATTAGAGTTGGGTGGGCGAAGTAGAGATGTGCAACAAGAATTTTATGTAATCACCGCATACCAATAAGGCTAAGGGCAAGTTCTGGACAGTAATGAGACCAGTTTTGCTCTATAGGGCGGAATGTTGAGCAGACAAAAATAATAAACCATAAAATGAGTGTAGCAGAGATGATGATGTTGAGATAGATGAGTGGAAAGACAATAAGGGATAGAATTCAAAATAAATATATTAGAGAGAATTTAGGCGTGGTACCAATAGGCGATAAAATAAGAGAGAATAGACTTAAGCAGGCTGACTATGTGTGGCGCCAACCAAGCACAATACCTATTCGGAGGTGCGAGTTAGTTCAAGTGGAATGATTGAAAAGGTCAAGGGGGAGACCCAAAAAGACGTGATTAGAAGTAATCCGTAAATATATAAGGACTTATGGTTTCATTAAGGATATGGTCTTTAATAAATCAGAATGGAAAACCAAGATTCATGTATATGATCCTACTTAATTGGAAAAAGCTAAAATGATCATGATGATGAATTAAAATGGTAATTACATTTTATATCACAACTTTAGGATTTGAGGTCAAAATATTTGGGGCAAACGTCAATTCACTCTATAGAATATAACTTACCACAAGTTTTTAAATGCCAAAACTCTCTTTCAATCTCTCGAAAATGCAAATTCCACCTATTTTTTAGGAATTAACATTTCTACAAAAAATCCTAAAAAATTGAACTCCCGCTCTAGGAGGGCATCCAAATAGCATCTATGGGCCATTTCCATGGACCCAAACGT